CCGCGCTGGCGGCAGGTCTGTGTGCTGGAACAGACGCTGACTTGTCCTGGCGCGACCTGTGGCGCGCACAGACACGAGTGTCACGGTACTGAGGTTTTCTGGAGCGTGTTCTGGGTCTGAGTAGCTGGCAGGTGGCTCCCGAGGCCTCAAACCCAGTGCTGCTGCTGTGCAGGGAAGTGCTGCTCCCAGATTAAAAATAAATGAATAACAAAACCACAGAGCTCCAGCCGGTTTTTGACTGGCTTTGGAACACGCTGCGTGGCACCCAGGTACTAATAAGCTACATTCCAAGTCAGACGTAACAGAAACAAACAGGTTTGCTAAGTAAACGAAACTCAGGTGATTATGCTGTCAAGTTTTCCTGTGTTCCCAGTAACTGCCATGTTCATGTCAGCCAAATTGGGTTAAGGGGTGTAGAGATGTAAGAGATCCTGAGTTTCTATGTATTCTCGGTTTGGGAAAACACTTGGGTTTATGAAAGAGGAGACACAATAAGTGTCCCTTTCCTGTCCCGGTGGGAGGAGTCAGTGGCTGTGCCAATAGGTCAGAACACGCAGCTTCTGACCAGTCGTGGTCTGGGGTACGTGGGAGAGGTCAGGTGTCTGGCTCCCAGGAGGAATCCAGGTGCAATGGATTTTCCCCTTTTCCCACTGAAACATGTGAAGAAAATCCTTTCGATTTAACATTTCACCTTGAAGGGTGGTTTCTGTTGGGGTGGTAAAGCCATTTGCTTGACATGCCTCTTGGTCAGTCTTATCCAGGTACTTTGCTTTTAAAATTTTGTTCCTTAATACTGACACTGCAAGCAGAGCAAGTGTCTCCAGCTCTTTGGGGTGAGGCTGAGCAATGAGAGCTGTGCTGCAACATTCCAGTCTAGGTGCTCATAGCCTTCTTCCAAAATCCTTTGTACAAACAAAGTGAGATTGGGCAAGCAGTTGGCTGGCATTGAGGTCTTTGCAGCTACAGCAACAAAAAGCATTTGGAAGAGGAGATGGTGAGACCAGCCTTGAGGTGGAGCTCAGCCCTGAAGGGAGCCAGGGCTCCAGGTGCTTTGAGGCTGAGGAGCAGAGATAAAAGCTTCCTGGTGTCACAAGTAATTTTTGAAAAATAGAAACGAGTGAGTCCTGCTGTTTCAGGCTAGCATGGAACCAGTGGCTCAGGGGGCTTCAGTGAGAGGGGCCATATTTATTGGAGGTCTGTGAGGGTAAAAGTTTAGCTTTTGTTTCTAACATTCAAAGTGGGAGTCTGGTGAATTTTTCACTACAGGTTTTAAAAGTGTGAGCACACCTGCAAGGGCTGGGTGCTTGGCAAAGTATGCTTTAATAACAGTTGTTTCCAGGAGCACAACAAAATGTGTGGAATGGTTTGTTGGTGTGATAACCCCCTGTTCTCACTTTCTGATCTGGGTGTGAGCAATGTTGGTGTGTTTCAGTTCAAACAAAGTTCTTGATTATAGCTTTGTATTTTTAGTGATGCTACAAAGTGGGCGGAGGTGGCGTTGAGGAGTTAACTGCCTGAATGTTTGTCTGATGCCATAGCTCATTCCTGGCCTTTTCAAAAGTTACTAGTGTGTTCCTGACTCTGTATTTCACTATTTGAATAAATTATACCATCTATTAAGGCTTGGTTTTGCTTGGTGTGATTGATGGAACTCTCTAGTATTAGGTTTTAATTAGTTGTCACAGTATCAAAGCTGATGAATTTGGTTTGTGTGGAAAAAAAAAGAACCTGGCAGTGAGTATCAGTGCTGACCCGGTGCTCCGTGCCTGCCCACGTGCCAGCAGGGAGGTTCCCGTTACTCCGATGGCCTGGAGAACACAACCCGTGTGTCTGCTTTTCTAAGAGCTGAAAACCAGGATGGTAAATTCCCTCTATGTATATTTTTCTCTTCACGTTCACAGTTATTGCAGCCATCACGAAGCCAAACTGATCCTCACAACCCCCCAGAGCCCCTCCCCGCCCGGCACCCCCCCGGGAGGCACTTTGCATCTGCTGCTTCTCCACCGTGAAGGGTGTGGGCCCTTGGCCGGTTCCAGGGTCTCCTTGCCCAGAAACACCCACGGTTTCAGCCCTGTCCTGCCCCGCGGCCGGGACCGGGCAGCCCCTGCCGTGCTGCCTGGAGCCTGCCCGCGCCCTTTCCCCGCTGTGATTCCTTCGGAAGGATTTCCATCAGGAAAACCGACGCGCTGCCCGGGAACAGGCCCCGCACGTGCCAAGAGCCGGCGCCGCTCCCCCCGCCCGGC